TTTCGTTTGCTTAGTAACAAAGCTATACGTAATTTTCAAGATTGCCGTTTGTTTAATGTTCATATTATGCACGAATGAAATAAATTACTTGATCCAACCATAGATGAGTACCTACCATAGGTGACTACTTTTACAGTTTTATTCTTGCGTTTATTGACATCAACATATTAGTTACGAAATTTTTTTATAGAAAACCCAAGAAAATATATAGTATAGATATATAGATATGATATGTACCGAAATCAAATGATAGACCATTGTGGAGAGATTTATTCACTCCCCACACTCTTAAGATTTTCGTTAATAGGTAGTAAGTACTAGTAGTAAGTAGGTAGGTAGTAGGTAGGCTCAAAGTTGGGACAACGATGCAAGATGTTTGCAGGTTTCTTGTAGGTTAACATTGACGGGTGGATCATCATAATTCATTGGCCTGTTCGCAATGTTTTTTACGAAATGATTTGGTTACGGTGATACAGCATGTTTACCAGGGTTACTTGTTTACTGGATTTAGTCAGTGTGCTCAGTGTGAGTTTTTTAACTTCGGCAAACGTAGAGGCGCTGTTCCAACTCGATACAAATTTGAGTTAACTTTTACGCGATAGACAAGTTAAAAAAACTCGAACTAAGCACACAATTATGATAAGCTCTTGTTGATTTTAGAAAACCCTCTGCGAACGAGCGTGAATTTACGAATAATATACTGTTTGTTTAATTGTCAGAATATTGGTGTTAATTTAAAAGTTTTGAGCTTATTGTGTGATATGCATGAACTGCAAAAGTTCCTATATTAAATATGAAGAGCATTTAATCATCAGCGTCTAAATATGTGACCCCGGCAAGTGAACTCGACAGTAAATGAATTGGCCGGCAGTCTTAGCGCCGTCACGACACAAGCGTGGGTTAATTGAGATCGACCGACACCTCTTCAATGTTAGGCATGGTTCAGGCTAATTTACCGCTGACTCTTTGTCCACCACCGATTGTAAACCAACGCTCACTGATCTCCAGGGTGGATGGGTATAGATAGATTGTTATCTCAGGTCGGACTAGCAGTCCTTTGGTCCTCGTAACACAAGCATCTGACGCGAGTCACATCACTAGCAAGACAAACGTTTCTAGACGCGGCATTTGTTTGGCTTCGAAGGCATACGAGAATACAACCCACCTAATGTTCTTTGACGCTATGTCAAAAACTGCTATGTAGCGCTGACACCTCTACTCAAATTTAGTTTTAAGGACATGTCTTAAAGTATGACTCATAATGTCGCGTCTCGTCAGCCACGGCACCGGAAAGACTCCTAAATGCTCATAAAGCTGATCATCAATCTTTGAATTATTTCGAAATACTGTAAGCGCCTTATTGCCACTCAATAACATGCATAATAATATAGATTTTAATGAAGAATTAGTTTATTTCTCAATAAAATTTCAACGAATTCCATTTATTGCGTATTAAACTTTAAAATTGAATGTCATTCTTAAAGATATCCAAAGTGTTTACAAAAAAAAAAACGCAAACTGTTTCTATGCGTTGAATTTTTTTTTATATCATTTATATGTTAATTTGACATCAAAAATGTTTAAATGGAACAAACTAGAGGTAAACTAATTTATTCTTTATAGTTTGTGCAAAAAAAAACATTATTAATATGGGTATTATAGATTTTCACATAATATAAAAGCACATTATAGATGTTAAAATATTTGCAACAACAAATTTCTAATGAACATGAAAATTTTCTATAAATAAGAAAAAATTACGTCTACAGTGTAGACTCTACACTGACATGACAGTTTTCCCGTCGCTTGCAACGAAGGGCTCGACGAGCGAATTAACCCCTAGACACAGCCCACTGAGTTTCTCGCCGGATCTTCTCAGTGGGTCGCGTTTCCGATCCGGTGGTAGATTCTGCGAAGCACTGCTCTTGCTAGGGTCAGTGTTAGCAACTCTCCGGTTTGAGCCCCGTGAGCTCACCTACACACGTTAGGGTGAAGCTGAAATAGCCTGTCAAGGCTATCAGCATAGGTAGGAAAAGAAAATGACAGTTTACTTGGCAAGATTTGGTATAAGTATGAATATCTAGATCTCCCTCTCTCTGTTTCTCTCTCTCTCTCTCTCTCTCTCTGTTTCTCTCTCTCTCTCTCTCTCTATGTTTCTCTCTCTCTCTCTCTCTCTCTCTGTTTCTCACTCTATAAAGTATTCAGTCAAGATTCCTATTACTATTAATAACGACATGTGTATAGAAAAACTAGTAACTATACTTGATACCTCAAGGTGGGTGGCGCATTACGTTGTAGATGTCTATGGGCTCCAGTAACCACTTAACACCTGGTGGTCTGTGAGCTCGTCCACCCATAAAAGCAACAAAAAAATAATAATATATAATACGTATTAATACAATTTTACATATTTAAGTGGTCGAGAATCGCGTGTGCTCTTGTGGGGAAGTGCCATCATCCCCTTTGTTCCTGCTGGAAAGCAGTCATGTCTTCCAATCGAAAGGTTGGTGGCAGTCATATGGTGATGTATACAAGTTCCAGTAGTTACTTAACACAAGATGATCTTTGAGAGTCGTTCACTCTTTCTAAAATACGTTCTAATATTGGGTCATGTCATAAGAATACAGTAGTCTTGATGCTACTCTCATTGGAAGCATGACTTATTATGAGCTTGCACATTTAAACACAATATCATGTCTTTTTCTTCCTCCTGCTATCCTACATTTGTCAGTACAGCAATCCATGGCATTCTCACACCCTGTTCTCTCATATCCTCTCTCACATAATCCATACAAGTTTCTTTAGGCCACCCCTCTAGGTATTTGTGGGTACTACCAGCCAGACTATATCTGATACAGAACAACCATTTATACCAATTAGCAAGCAACTCGTTATAGTCAGAATGCATTCTGAATTTTAATAATAAGACTTTAATGCAGTTGAAACTGTTATGTCTAGTAGAATAATCATGAATTAACCCAATTTTCGACACATAGTAGTTCATTTTATGTGATGCAGTAAAATTTAAAAATTAACAAGGAACTGAATTTCACAATTGTGAACTATATGTACACAAGTACATATTATAATGCTTAGAGGTATTCAATTTTATTATATTCTATGTGATGTAATTTGAGGCCAAAACAAACAATGAGCTAACATTAGCTCATACACTAATACACAATCGTTTACCACATATGACATCATTTACTTTGATTAATATAAAGAACTTTTATTTATTTTTTGCTTAGGTTTGTAGATGAGCTCACGGCCCACCTGATGTTAAGTGGTTACCGGAGCCCATTGTCATCTACAACGTAAATGACGCCACCCACCTTGAGATAAAAGTTCTAAGGTTTCAAGTATAGTTACAATGGCTGCCCCACCTTTGAAACCGAAACGCTTTACTGCTTCACGGTAGTAGAAATAGGCAGGGTGGTGATATCTACCCGTTCGGACTCACAAGAGGTCCTACTACCAGTAATTACGCAAATTATAATTTGCGGGTTTGATTTTTATTACATAATGTTATTTCTTCACTGTGGAAATCTATAGTGAACATTTGTTAAGTACGTATTTCATTACAAATATTGATACTTGCTTGCAGGATTCTAACACTGGTGCATTAGTGGATCATATGAATGCACCAGATGTCTTATCCCTTAGGCCACGATGACTTAGATTATTAAAAGTCTTGAGTTTTTTTTATTTCAATAATTATATGTGTCCTGTAAACAGTTTGGTTAGTAATAAACAGATAGGCTGTTTGTGTGTCCTCTATGGAGGGCATCTGCTAATCAGTAGTCTAGTCTTATAATATAATGTCCTTTTGTTTTAGCCATTTATTACTGCTTTGTTTTAATTTAGTAGTTACCATGCCATTATCATTTAGTATTTTTTCAGATTACCTTGAGACATTCAGTTTTATGGATTTCCCGATTTATACTTGTAATATTTGGCTAATGGTGAATATCTATATTGGAAAACATGGGACATTACCTAAATTTCGTGTCATAATTTTACATTTGCTGCATTTGCATTGTACTATTTAAATATTGAAGGCTTAAATGTTTCCCTAGAATTATATACCAAAAGATCTAGACATGTTTCAAGGTACTCTTGAAATTGAGAAGCTGTTTTCAACCAAGTCTTGTTGTTTCCACCCAGTTCCCAGGACAGTTGAGCTTGTATCTTTTAGTTATAGATATATTGTGAAGTATATACATTAAGCATGAAGAAAGGCTAAAGAGCAGAGTACCCTTGCTCTTCTAATGACTATGTTATTTTAACCATTTCTATCAAATGGCTCAATGGTAGAGTACTGTTGCCCAAAACCAAACTCGTGATTAGTGATGATTTTTTTTAAGTTCATATATAATTCAGTGTGACAACAGTCCTTTAAGAACTAGTCTAAATTGGCAGGCTGTTTTAAAATTTTGTGAACTATTTAAATTTATTAAACTTTCCAAAGTTTAGGAAAATATTGGTTTTAAGAAGAGGGTTGGCTATTTGTGGTCTGTTATAACTTTTTGTGAACTTCCACTAAGAAGTTATAACCAATTGAAGCAGTGGCTATTGCCAATGCCAGTTGAGATTCAAGAGGGTAAGTGTGCCATTTATGCAATATTTGATTTAAATTTGTACTCTCTTTTGTGAAGTTTGATTTCAATGTCAATGTCAATGAAAGCTGTCCAAATATAAATTTGGACAGCTTTCATTGACTTGAAAGCTGTTTGTCTTTCATTTTAATATTATTTATCAATTAATTATAATTTCTTACTGATCCTCATATAAATACTTTTAATTATGTTTTGTTAGAGATGGGTTCCCCACTGAGTTAACAGTATTTCAGGACTACAATTGTCTGTAATTATCAGATATCCGAGGGCACAATATTAAAAGTCAGTAAAATAACAAAGAAAACTTGATGAGAATAAGCAATGAATGTTAATTTAATCTAATATGCCAATTGATTAAATCTAGTTAAAAAATATATTTACCTGGAGTGTATACTGTTTTCCGTTTACTTCTATGGTTTTATTCATGAATTCAACACCTATAGTGTGGAAACTATGATCATCGAAATGGTTCGAAATGAATCTGCTCATCAAACATGATTTACCGACTCCACCGTCGCCGAGTATCACAATTTTCAATAAAGTGTTCTTGTTCTGATTTCTTCGATCATTTTCCTCCATTATTTAAACTAAGTCAGACATTATCTAACACTGAAACGAATTTTTTATTGCAACAGCCTTGAATCTGACTACAAAACGCGGTTGTTTAATTAATGACTCACTTTTTAATTAGTTTCAAAGCGATTAATCAAAGCGATTAGTTTAGTCTGAATAGTGTGATGTAGTTATATTTTCAAACTTAAAGCGTTCGTTTGATTATTGTATTTTCAATTGATTTTTTTATTTAAAAACGACCAGTCGTTTATGAAGGTGAACTAGTCAACAATGAACCACAACCAAAGTAAAACACAAAACATCAGCCTAAAAATTGACTGCACACTGCAATGTCACTGTCATTGATTCAATATGTCACTGTCACAGACTATTCGGAGTCTTTCATAGACTTACCTACTTCAGTGGAGTCTTCAATAGTGTACTGAGGACGAGAACTGCAAAATATTCGAAATGTCGTAGATAGTGGATAGTGTAATAAATAACAATAAAAACAAGATTAAACCGTAAAAGTAGTTTAAGTTTTCATTCAACCATTCCCATAATTAGCACCTCTTATAACCTAAGTAATTGTTTTTTTAATCACGGATTAATTAAAAAACACGAGTGCTGCCTCTTTTTGTTAGATAAAAATAGAATAGTAAAGATTTAGTTCAGTAAGCTATATTATTATTCAATATTTTAAGAATATGTAAAAATTATATTTCCTCTCTGATATTTTATGCTGAAATCCATATTGCATATATTAGCTATTTCTTAACGTTGAAAAAAATTGTTACCTTTTTTTCAACAGTACAGACATATTGGTTTTTAACGAATTTACTTTCGAATTCATTATTGTAATTACATTAACAAGAAGAAAATCTAATAAAACAACAAACATTAGTTAAGCTTAAGCTCAGCGAAAAGCAAGAAATTAGCGTGGGTCGCATTTTTATCCACTTAAAGTAGCAGTAAAAAAATGAGTAACTACGACAGAGGACGTGAGTTCTCGAGTTCGGAAGTTTCAGGAAATTCGTATCTTTTAGTATTTTATTTTCATCGTATCTAATTTCAATTCATTTTATTCTATTCCGTGTTATTTAATCTCCTTTTGTTATTAATATTAAATAAATCTACTTCATTTAAATCTCTTGTTTCCATAGCGTTTTCAGTTTTCCATAGAACAAATATCTGGAACAATTAGTAGCATTAGGCTTATGGACGCAACATAGGTTACTAGAAAAACTAAAAAAAAAAGAAGCTCAATTTGAAAAGAATACCTCTACCCTCCATAGAAAAGAAGAAAGAAGAAAGTCTAAAGCGGTATTTATAGAACACGACTTTACCTACGTTGTCGTAAATTAGTGTTTAATCTATATCTGTCATCTAGTGACATCTTTGAGGTGAATGAAGTTAGCCCCTCAAAAAATTTTTTTTTTCATATTTTCTACTTATTTTCTATTAATTCGTTTGTTCATCATTTGTTCTTGATTGTCCACTGTTAATAATTGTTTGTTCTGCATTTATTTATTTAAAAATAATATTTAAAAATATACCTACAAGTTAGCCCCTCTCTTGCAATTTTTAACATTTTTTCATCTTTAATGACTCGTAAATATTCATTTTCCATTGTTCTTATATAAAACACGTTTGTTCTCTTTCGAAATTACTCATGTTTTGTTTAATTAACTATTTGTATTAGTTGAATAAATGTAATATGTATGCAAAATATGTGTACTGCGCATGCGTCAACTATAATGCCTAAACTTTCTATGCGGTTTTATTCGTGAAAAAAAACCAAATATAAATCCTGAAGGAGCAATTAATTGGTATACAGTTTAATTAAAAAAATTAAAAAATAAATAAATGAAATAATGTGCATTGGCGTAAAGTTAGATCAAATACATTTTTTCCATCCTCCTACCTATCGTTATGAAGGTATAAAAAAGATAGGGAGTTCACATAGGTAATATAAACAAATAAGTAAATATGTTCATTAATTATCTTTCAAAATTTATTTATTTACTGAATTATTTAAGAATGATAAATTATACTTCCTGTTTAATTATCCTAACCAAAAAATATGTTTATGCTTAAAGTCACGTGTTTATGTTATTCGAAAATATTAAGCTCCAAGCAGCATTTAGCTCCAACTAAATTCATTAAGAACCAATTTTTCAATCGAAGATTAAAACAACATTAATACTGAGAATGAATATTTATTTATAAAATACACATATATGTTTTGACCACAAAATTCGCACGATAATTTAAATTAATATTCATTAATATTAATTTCAATAAATGAAGTGCACAAGTCTTTGATGGAGTGGAGATATAGAGAGATAACTTTCAACAGCTGATCCTTCTGTTGCTGGTGCATTTGACTGATCACTGTCAAATATGTCCTCAGGAACAACAGTTTTCTTTTTGCTGGTTCTGATTGTTTACTTGTACTTGCTTCAGATATATTAAGGGGTGATGTGGCAATACACACTTGCCTTGTCTTTGTGTTCCTGCGCTGGAGCTACTTGGATAGCTTTGTCATTACTACACCTATTTTCAAGTGGCTGGACATCTGGAAATATGAAATAATGTTATCAATTTCTAGGTACCCAACAAACTTATAGTTTGTAAATTTATAGGATTATATGTGTACTGTAGTAGTAGTAGTAGTATGTAACTTCCTAGTCATCATCATCGGCCCATATAATATATCCCCTTGCTGGACACTGGCCTCCACTACCATTGAGAGGGTTTTTAGGCTTTAGTCCACCACGCTGGCCTAGTGCTGGTTGGTGGATTACACACCTAAGAAAATCCTAAGAACATTTAGGTGTGCAGGTTTCATCACAATGTTTTCCTTCACTGTTAAAGTAAGTAAGTGATATTACACTGTGATAAATTTTCATTATCACAAACTTCCTAGTACCTTATGTAATAGGAACTGAGGTCCACTTGCCCATTTTGGCTACTTCCACTAACTAACTAACTATTCTACTTTTTTCTGATATTGTTATTTGATTATGAGATCTGTGAGTGTTACTAATTATTGACAGTTACACCTACCTTGACTACAAGATGGCAAAGGTATAATAATATAACACATCTCATTTTTAGTCGTCTCTTCAATCTCCTTGACAATAGTGAGTCTTTGCCGTTTCACAAAGCAGGTCGAGATTCACTTTGAGTGAATTTTCGTTTTATATCTGCCCGACAATCGAATTTGGATGGTAAACAGTTTGGTTTCATTCGAATTCATTTGATGGAGCCCATTATCTTGTATTGCATATAATTCTCAATGTCGTTTTCCAGCTAAAACATGAAATAATTTTCTAACACTTTCAATACATAACCTATAAAAAAAATATTAAAATGTTATTTTACTAATGTTAGGAATATAATTTCGACTGTGTAAAAAAGTTATTATAATGTATACCTACATTATCTCTTGAAAGATAAATAATGAACATATTATTGACTTATTTGTTTATATTACCTATGTGAACTCCCTATCTTTTTTATACCTTCATAACGATAGGTAGGAGGATGGAAAAAATATATTTGGTCTAACTTTACGCCAATGTACATTATTTCATTTATTTATTTTTTTATTTTTTTAATTAAACTGTTTACCAATTAATTGCTCCTTCAAGATTTATATTTGTCTTTTTTTTCACGATTAAAACCGCGTAGAAATAGAAAGTTTAGGCATTATAGTTGACGCATGCGCAGTACACATATTTTGCATACATTTAATCAACCAATACAAATAGTAAATTAAACAAAAAACGAGTAATTTCGAAAGAGAACAAACGTGTTTTATATAAGAACAATCGAAAATTAATATTTACGAGTCATTAAGGACGAAAAAATATTAAAAATTGCAATCGAGGGGCTAACTTGTACATATATTTTGAATAATTTTTTTAAAATAAATAAATGCAGAACAAACAATTATTAATAGTCAACAATCAAGAACAAATGATGAACAAACGAATTAATAGAAAATAAGTAGAAAATAGGAAAGAAAAATTTTTTTGAGGGGCTAACTTCATTCACCTACATCTTTGGCGGGATCTTTTTTGGCGGGAACGCGAAGGGTGAAGTTGTGTGATTTGTTTTATTTTGTCTATTTAGTGTTTCTTCAGATTTAAATGTGTAATAACGGTGGTTTATTAACTGTTTAATATCTGTGACAGTGCACAAATGTGGGAAAATGAAACAAAGCTGCTGGACGCAACTTCTCGGGATCCTCCAAAAAGTCCACTGAAAAAATCTTAGTAAATGACCACCATTTTACTAAGATTATATTTCATCCCATATCATCTCATTTCATTTCATTTCATCCCAGTTGATTAATGTCTCAAATTAATCATCTTCATTTCATTTCACTCCATAATATCATTTTCCATAAAAATATGAATATAAATTAAAATAAGATATGACTTAAGGGTCTCAGTTACCAGGTCATAAAATCCCTTAAAAAAAAATCTGGTGGATTATAAACCAATACAGCGCCATCTCTAGTTGATCAGTGGATCGATTTCAATATTTAATGCGAAGCAGTCAGTATGATAGTCACTAGATGTCCTTTGTTTCGAGGTTTTACGACCAGCTAGATGTCATGTTCATTCAATCGCAACGTTCAACAGTTCAACTTTATTCAGCTTATTCCGCTTTGTTTTGCGGAGCTTAGAGGACGTAGTGTCATAGCGCCTGCGTTTGTGTATTGTGTCCAATGTTTTTATGTTAAAAAGTATTTTTTGAGTGAACACACAATTAAAACTTAAACGGACAGTGTTTTTTTAAGCGAACCAAGACAATGCGTGCTTTTTGAACTTTAGAAAGATTGTTACATTCGTACATTTGCGCAATCGTTAGTGAGACTCGATGTCAATAAACTTGTCGGTTGTATTTTATGGGAAAGGTGTGCCGCGTCGTGCTGTTACCTGTTTACGACGGCCGGGTGTTCGAGTCTGATACAGCAGCGCCAGGAGCGTTCAGGCCATGGTGTCGTAGTCAAGGTGAGGTGCGTCGGTTAGAGTACTTTTCGGGGCCGCGTTATGGTGTGCGGGACTCTGGCGAGCGTGCATTCACCTCTGACCCGCGCGCGGGGCGAGCGACACTCAAGGTCGGTGCGCCGCCTGAAGGTCGTTTGTCACGTGACACGAAGGGTGCACACCCCGACCCTCGCGAGTCGGGACTATCGTTGCCGCCGTCGCGACGCTTGTTTTCATTTAAGACAGTCGTACACAAAAGTTGTCTCTTTAAAATCTTCTTTTATTAGTAATTAAATTTTTGGAAATATGAAGACTTGACACGTTTAG